TTGGAGTGCTTGCAACATGGATCTAGCCCCGGGGCGGCAACTAGGGCCGTAAAGTTGACCCATGTTTTTGACATGAAACAATCTTTTTCTGGCCAACCGAAATAGATTGGACATATTCGTCTATGTTTTCAAATAGAGCTCAACGAGAGCTCTCCAAAAACATACTTGGTTTTGAAAATGAACCCCCCTTTAGATAAAAAACATTCGTAAACATGTTTAAAACCTGAAAACATGTTTGTAGATATAATAGGGCAAAGCCACGATTTTCTGAAGGTAGAAAACAAATAAAACAAACATGTTTTTTGTTTTAAACAAGTTTAAACCGTGTTTTTGAGGTTTTAAACGTGTTTTAGGCTGTTTAAAACATAAAAGTCATGTTTTAAAACAAGAGCGAGCCACGGTATATCCATGTTTTTTTCCGATCACCTCTACGTTTAAAACATCAGTTGCCGCCCCGGGGATCTAGCTTGTACTTCTTTATAGTATTATGCGTGGCTAGAAAGCTTGCACACGGAGCACATGGCACGGGAAGATTCCGGTTTTGGAATCTCCATTGGCTGACTGGCTATGTGGCTAAATATTCAGATACCGGACCAGAAGTCTGGCCAGAAACACTATTAGGGACTGGTGAAATCGGAGTTATCTGACGGCCCGGGGGAAGCCTCCGGAATATTCTCCACCGTCCGATGGACCCCCCGCCAGACTAAATTTTGACTCGGAACACACTCGCGAACCGAATTCCGGACCAGGTTAGACCTCGGTTAAATCCAAACCCGCTACGAATTGACTCGCGCCGCAAACGGCGGAACCTCGAACCCGACTCGACCCACCGGGCACTGACCCCAGTCTGACCCCTTCCTGAACATCCGGAGCACATTTGCCACGTGGCGCACCGAAGAGAGCCGGGGACACTGAGTGTGCCCTAGATTCACTCGGAAAGTTACTGCTGGGCACGTTACGTGAGTCTCCCCGGTACATACCAATGACTTGGGTAGGAACCTCATGCCCAAGTCCAACTAGCAGGGCCATAATTTTGACATCTCAGTTTGACTGTTGTACGTAGAAACATGAAGTCCAGCAGTCACCTTTTCCGAGTCAGGGCAAGGTAACGGTTTGAGCTCCCAGAACAAACCCTGTTGAGCTCCCAGGTCCAACAGGGTTTGTTGAGCTCCCAGGTCCAACAGGGTTTGTTGAGCTCCCAGGTCCAACAGGGTTTGTTGAGCTCCCAGATCCAACAGGGTTTGTTGAGCTCCCAGGTCCATGAGGGTTTGTTGAGCTCCCAGGTCCAACAGGGTTTGTTGAGCTCCCAGATCCAACAGGGTTTTCTCAACGGAGCATGTGACTGCCAGATGTCCTGTTTATCACGTGGTCACTTGCTGACTCACAATACTGACTGACACGCGTGCTAATGTAGTACGTGGCGGTCAAATTCCTCAGTCCCGCCATTTCTTGGGGCACAAACGTTACCGTCCCCGGTCAGCACACCTCATGTGAGTGTATGTATGACGGCCTCCACAGCAGACTGCAAGCACTTGGCTATTTTACTTGGTCTCCGATATGAGGCCTTGACGCAGACAACTCAGAACACTCAATACTGAGCATTCTGTTTTATCTTGTTGAAGAGGCGGCAAGCAAGGAGTATGCTGAGGAAACATTAGTTTTCTGTTGTCATGGCCATCGAAGACATGAGTAGCTCAGTTTGGATGGAGTATCGGCAAAGCAGATTGCTTGAGCAGAATGGATGCAGCGCTGAAAAACCGGTGAGACATCATGGATTTCGTCTATCTTACTGGTGCAAATTCCCCATGGTTTTGGATACAGAGTTCACAATCAACCCATCTGCTTTATCATACCATAATCGATGCACGTTTCTGTTAGGCTTTCAAATGAACACATCATTTAAAGGAAGTCCAAGTGCCTCATCAAGTGCCCCAGACATACTCTATTCTTAAATATCCTGCTTCTTACACACCTTTTTAAGTTCCTGTTACATCTCTGGCCACAATCACAATCTCCAAATCCACTCCCTAAGACCAACGTCAGATTCCATCCAACCGCTCTCTCGTCCTTCTTGGCAGCCATGGACTCCCAATGGCACCCATCCGACGTCGCAGGGCGCCGACAGCGAAAGCATCAAGCTTGCCGACAACCACAATGTAGCTTTGGAGGACGCCCCTTCTTTCAAGACCGCCACACTGCAGGTGAGAGCGTTGCCACGTGTCGGCATCCGATCGGTCGGGACAGCCGGGACGGCTGGGACAGCCAGGGGACCCTTTCTGACTTCTGAAACGACTTGGGGACAGCGCGGTCAGCTGGGACAGCGTTTTGCGCCCTGGGAACATTCTGAGTTTTTGG